GTTGCTGGCAATGAAGCGGCAGATAAGCTAGCACGAGATGGCAGCGCTGAAGCGTTTGTGGGACCGGAACCAGCAGTTGGTGTATCATTTGCGATGGCCAAATATAGGATTGGACTGTGGGCTGAAGAGAGACTTCGCCTACTGTGGACCAGTTCTCCTGGAATGAGACATGCTAAGGTGTTTATTAACATCGCCACTGTCAAACCCGGGAATATTTTAGGACTTGCCCGTAGTAGCATAAAAGTTCTAATGGGTGTTTTTACTGGGCACTGCCGATTAAAAGCACACCTCAACTTGTTGGGTTTAGCCGACGATGTTGAATGCCGACTATGTGCGGAGGAAGCAGAGACGGTTGAGCATGTTTTATGCCACTGCCCTGCCGTTAACCGTATCAGATTCTCGATTTTTGGGTCGCAGTTTATCTCCTCAAAAGATCTGAATGACCTTTCGTCGAGCAAGGTATTAATGTTCGTTAAGAACATTGGACTGCACGGTGAAATTTGATAACGATATCTATCGGGGTACAATAGATCCTTAGGGTCGCGGTGCAAGGTTGGTTGGTCCGCCTACCCGATATGTATTCTATGTAATGCAATGTAATGTAATGTAGATAGGCTTATTCTAGGAGGAAACTTTAATGCTAAGAACCAGTGGCGCCGACTTTTTAATATTTAGGGGGGGGCTGAACTTTTTCAAATGGTGTACCTTATTACAATACAATTGTGCACTTTTAAAATTTTTCGGGGGGGCTCAAGCCCCGCAGCTCCCCCGTAGTCGGCGCCACTGCTAAGAACACTCACTGGGATCAAAAATTATAACAACCAACGGTAGCTAATATAAGCAACTTTACAAGAAGGATGCTAGTTTCACGCAAACTAGACAACCCACATTCTGGTCGACTGACAGAAATAAAATTCCCAATCTATTGGATCTCTTTATTAGTAACAACAATACTGACTGGATAAAGAAGCTGAAAAACTGATGGTTGATCCAACAAGCTACTTTTGCAAGTACATCAGAGTTTGTAAGAAAGGTCGCAGGCAATAATTATCCAACTGAACTTCGAAACAGAGTTGCTGAAAAAGAAATCGGTGGTAGCAAACTAGAAATCGGGCAGAAAAAACAATTCTAAACCAACTTACTAGCTATTCCAGCTAAGAAAAGCATTGACACCCGATAAAGACACAAACTACTTGCTGTGAAAAGCTTATAACAGAGTTAAAGCGCCAGTAACTCAAACCCCGCCTATAAAGAAATAAATGGAAGCTGAGCTAGAAGCAACAAAGAAAAAATAGAAAAATTTGCTGTTTATCTTATGATAAAAAAATTTGACAATAGCAGAATTTGAGAATTTCTTACAATAAGCTCCAGATGAATGCTTCTTATTAATGAAGGCGAAGTATATTAATTAATTTATTTTATTTATTTATATGTTGTGACTTATCTTTCTTCTTGCAGGTTATTTTAATATTTGGAATTTATGGAGCCTGTAGAAGAATTGAGTTATTAAATTTAACAATAGATGATATCAAGGATAGGAGTTCATTAGCAATTGTAAAGATCCAAGATTCACGAAATCATAATCAAAGGACATTCGTCATTTCAAATTCGGCTTACATTATTATATTATATCGAAAGTATTATGCATTCAAGTTATAGCAATTAACAAAATTGAAAGATTAGAGAGAAGAACTAGAGAGCTACTGATCATTGTTTTTGCATATCTTTTGCTACTGTACTAGCAGATTCGGGATCTGATTTTGCTAGTGTTAAAATCATGGGGGCTGGCGTTCTACGACGTTTGTAGAGGGATATAGTGAAGAATATATTGAAATAAAATTAAAGTTTCGAAAAATATCCTATCTGATCAGATACTCAATCATGTGCAATAATTAGCAAGTGTTAAGAAACTGATGCAGCTAGATAACTCGTATCATCAATGAGTGAAGTCTTATTTAACAAATGTACTATTATGAATTTACATTACAATTAAATGTTAATTATTTTGTGTTTGTAATCTGTTCAAAAAAAATAAAACAAATGCTATTAAATGACAAAAAAAATAGAAACAACAAAAAAAATGTTTGAAGAAAACTCTAAAATTTAAAACGTTACAAAATGAATAGTTCTATACATAGGTATATTTTATTAAAAAAATAATTGACTCACATTTCCGTTCTTTCTGCTTTTCTTGGACACTTTCATCTCGACCGGTTTCTGCTTCATCATCAATGGCTTCCACAACATCAACCATATTAAGTGCCAAACCAGCCGCATTTCTTCCAATAAATTCAACATTGTGCTGTAAAAGTGGTGATAACTTTTCTGCTTCGCTATCTTCATCAATATTGTTATCCTATATGAATAAATAAATAACACAAACTTTTTGTAATTGGACCATGTTTATCAGAAAGGGACCAATCGAAATTTTTATAAAAATAGAGATAATGGTACCAAGTGAGTGTCAAAAGGTATTCTTTGACGTGTTGTTTTAATTATTAATATTGTTTTAATCGTTTCAATTTCCAGCTAGTAGCTGTAAGATACAGCAAACATATTGAATATGTAAATAATAGCCGACTAATAATAATGCCGACTGACAGTCTTTTTCTTTGGATTTTGTAGGAGCAACCGCACCGCTTACCATTATGACAACTGAAAATGTACGTTCCGAAGATATGAGTAATAACTAATTCTGTTCTGAGTCAAAAAATAACATTACAGTTCCTGAAGATTATCATACACAAGATTATTCGGATTATCATCCGTCTTCTCAGAATAACAGCTGTGAAAGACATTACGTCTAAAAATAGCAACAGCCCATCTAGTAGTGAAAATGAAGACAATGTAGTTGAAAATGAGATCAGCGAACACATTTGAAGGCCTAAAAAGGAAGGAAAAGAAAATTTAAGGGACAAACTTTCAAAACGAAGAAGACATTACAGTACACCAACCGACCCTACTATACGGAAAAAGGAAAACTTGTGGCGGCAAGAAATTCTTAGGCGATTATTGATGTAACTGTACTCGCAATTGTGCCAACTTAATTAGCGAAGCTAAAAAAAAAGCACATCTTTGAAAACTTTTACAAGTTAGCTAACTATGATGCGCAAACAGCTTTTAATGCTGCAAAAGTTCAGAAGATCCCTATAAAACGTAAATGAAATAAGATTTCTGAAAAGAGGTCTTTCACCCGAAATTATTGTTTGGACACTGTTCCAGTATGTATTTTTTTTTTATAAATACACTTAGAGTAAGTTCTAAAAGAATGAATACTGCTCTGTGCAAATTTAGGACTGGAGAAATAAAAGATGCCAGAGGCAAGATCTCACATAAAACAGTTCCCCACATACAAATCGCATTACTCTAGATCGCAAACTGAGACTAACTATTTTAACTATAATATCACAGAGCGTAAAATGTATGATTTGTATAAGAGTGAAAACAAAGATATTAAGGTATCTTTCGCTAGCTATAAAAGCATCATTTATAAAAATTTTAATCTGCGTAGGAAACTAAGAATAAAGGACACGTGCAGTTTATGCGATTCATACAATATCAAAATACATAATGCTGTATTGGAACAGGACAGGGAGGAACTAGCACACAATTTACACCTAGAAGCAGCTGAAATAGCAACTTAAAAAAAACTTTAACTCAAAACAAATTTTGACATATAATATGGAAAAACCTTGCTTTTGCCCAATATTCCTACAAATCTTGTTTTCTACAAGCGCCAATTCTGGCTCTATAATGAGGGCACACACCCTGGCAATAAAGGGTACTGTTTTATATCGAAAGAGGGAAAGGCCAGAAGAGAAGCACAAGAGATAGGGTCATGTCCAAAAAAATTTATAGAACTTTTTTTGGAGCAGAATACAGAAACTCTAATAATATGGTCAGTTAGCTGTGGTGGCCAAAACAGAAACGTTAAAATCGTTTTAAAGCTAAAGCACATACTTAGCTGCCACCCTACATTAAAAACGATCTACTTTAAGTACTACCAAATGATTCAGATTTTTCGGACATAAAAAAGGCAATTAAATTAAATCAAAGAATTTATACGACGCAAGATTAACTCAATATAATGAAACATTGCAGGCGAAAAAACCGACTGATTATAACAGAGATGAGCACGGAACATTTTTTCTCTGTAGAAAACTTAGAAAAAGAAATTACTAACTGAAAAACAAACATAAACAAAAACAAGGTTAGCTGTTTAAAAACCAGAGTAATAAAATTAAAACAGGACAAACCATTTTCAATTTACTTAAAATACACTCATAATGGAAATGTCGAGTTCCATGAATGAGTATTGCTTCAGAAAAGTCCAAAAAGAAGGCTCCATTTACTTTTTCTACAACGACTTAAAAATTCTTTGGCCTAACGGTACAGAAATTTCAAACAAAAAGTTGCAGGACATTAAGTCTTTAATGCCCTTTATTCCCTTGAATGCTAAAAATTTCTACAAGAGCCTCAAAGGCATGGATTTTGACGACGATTTAGATGGTTTTGGCGAAAACCTCGATTTTAAAATACTGTATAGTTTAATTTTTTGTAGTATAAAAAATAAATGAGTTTCTAAACTAAAAACTTGTTTAATTTAATTATTTATGTTTTATACTTTCATTCTGAAAATCTAATCTCGCCTGTTTCAATATTTTTTCTTCAACGTTATTATTATTTAAAGATTAGTTAAATATGATACTCATAAACCCATAAAATAAAAATATTACTAAAATCTTCAATATATCTACAATGTTTTAACTTTGGAACGATTTCCTGCCACTTTTATATTTTGACAGTTGGTCCCCTTCTGATAAACATGGTCCAATTGTACACATTTTTACCTCCTCTTTTTCTTCTTTATTAAGAGAATGTCGAGAGGACGTTCGATTTCTAACGAGACTTTCCGTATTCCTACCATGTAATATATCTGTATTGGCCAATAAAGGACATTTTGGAGCCTCTTTTTCATCGTCGCGAGATGATAACAATATAGACATTCCAAACTTTACCAAACAAAATTTTTAATAATCCTCAACATGTTTAATTAATACAATACTCACCTCCGGTGTTCCAGAATCGATATCTTTCGCTAATTTGGAACTAGACGAATGTCTGTTTAAAATGTGAGCGGCTTGCATTGTCTGTTCGTTTTCTGGAGTTTCTACAAGGTCAGGCATTGCCGCAGATGGGGGCTGTCTTGGAGCGCAAGGGCCATTTAACGCTTCAATTAATGACACTGCTTCATATCCTGGGGGGATATTATCACCTGTACCCTAAAAACGCAAAATGTACAGGGTCTGTCACGACCAGCTGAGTCTATATGTATATGGCAAACTACTGGCACTATTTTTGTGAAAATTTGCATACAGGTTTATCCGAAGTGCTCGTTTCAGCTAAAATATTTTCAGTTTTCTCCAACTTCCGGTTTAATATATATTGAAGCACCAAACCGAAGGCACAAAAACTATCAAGTATTAAAACAAATAATTTGACGTTTACGTAGCAAAAGTGTTAATCATATTCGATTTAGAATTTAGTAATTGTAGAACCTATGGCCTGTTTGTTGGAAAGCACAAAAGAGTTAAACCAATCGTAGATAACGAAGAAAATGAAATTACAGTTTTGGGGTACTTCAAAGCGTGTCCTGAAAATTCGCTATTAGATGCTAAAAGAGATTTGGGAATATCTGAGAAAAGCAATCACAAGATTTAAAAAAAAAACATAACTTTCATCCTTATTCATTGGCACAAAGTTTAAGGCCAGGTGACGATCAAAGGAGAATTGATTTTTGTGAATTTATGTTGATTAAAACTCAAGAAGATGAAGATTTTTTGGAAAAAATAATTTGGACGGATGTGGCAAAATTTCACAAGAATGGTGTGTTTAACTGGCATAACTCTCCTTATTGGAGTAATACTAATCTACACATATTTCCTGAAAGACAATTTCAAGGATACTGGAGTTTTAATGTTTTAGCTGCCATACAAAATGATTTAGGTTTTTTTTTGTCTATATTCATCAGCTTTATAATTAAGACAAATAACTTTTTCTTTTGGTACTTCTGATGTTTTAATTTTATTTTATTTATGCTCTACCGGTTTCGGATGCAGCCATCATTCAGGAGTGTCTACAATTAAACCACATACAATTATTAACAAAATAAAATATAAAATGAAAGTATGATATTAAAAGAACATGGGTTAACCTAATCTAAAAATAACTTCGTTTCAAAATAACGTCAATTTCTTTGAGATTTCGAGTAAAAATATTACATGAAACAGGTTTTTATTTCACGTTATTTTGTGATTTTTGTCATTTTTTTGGTGAACATTTGTTAAAAGATAGAAAAATCGAAGTATTTGTTTATTGTATACCTCACCATTGACGTAAGTTATTTTTAGATTAGGTTAACCCATGTTGTTTTAATATCACAGTTTCATTTTATATTTTATTTTGTTAATAATTGTATGTGGTTTAATTGTAGACGCTTCTGAATGATGGCTGCGGCCGAAACCGGTAGAGCATAAATAAAATTAAATTAAAACATCAGAAGTACTAAAAGAAAAAGTTATTTGTCTTAAATACAAAATGATGGCGTGCTAGTGCTGCACTTTTATAACGAAAATTTGAATGGTAAGCTTATTGAAAATTATAGGGCAACTTTTGTTTTTAATTCTTGTTCATTATTTCGGACGAAACATATCTGGAAATTTTACAAAATTATCTACAACCGCTAAATCTAAACTGGAATCAGCTGTGGTACCAACGCGGCAACAACACGGCAACACAACTTTTTACAAAATCTTGAAGATCGTTGGATAGCTAACAACGGACCCCATAAATGACTTCCCGTTCGCCAGATATCACTCGATTAGATTTTTTGTTAGGGGTCGTATAAAAGACATCATGTATGCTACACCGATTACAACAAAGGAAGAATGCCAAGAAGGAGTTCGTGATGCATTTCGAATCTTTCTTCGTAAGAAATTCGAAGTGTCACTTATGCCAGGTTTTTAAAAAGAATTCACAAATTTTTGAAAGTTGAGGGCAACCAGTTCGAACATTTACTATACAAGTGTCTCACGTAACTGGTTCATTACAACTTTTTCAGGTTCCACTACTCGTAGAGGTTTGAAATTTTGGTAGCATGCGTTGTTCACTCGGAACTTTCGATCTAAAATACTTTTAAGATGGCTGCCACTTCCGGTCTACCGGAAATAGACCATAACGTCGTTATTTTAAATGGAATGCTATTTTATTGCGCCTTTTAATAGAACGTTTAAAAATATGTTGACTTTGATAAAACTTATTGGTACCTGGCGTTTTTAGTTTTTTGAGTTATTTTGGTTTTAACCACAATTTATTATTTATTTATTATTTATTTTGGTTGTCATTTGTTGTATCGGAGTATCTTATACAGCATGGTCAAAAATGGAATTACTGTTTCTCCATATTCAATGACGAGAAAGTCGAAAATTTTAAATGGAACGCCTCATATTTTTTTAGTCTATCAGAAAGGGAATTTAATTTTCTACAAATTATCTGTAAACATTCATATACCTATTTTTTGTAATTTGCTTCGTATTGGGAAATTTATTAAAACATGCACGAAATGCAGGTGTTTTTGTTAGAAAGCTATGGAATTTTTGCCAATTTTTGGTCCATGTTAGTATTATTGTTGTCATTAGTTACATTTGACGACGGTGCAAAGTCATTGAACATCATGGCAGATTATTCCAACGCCGATATATGAAATTTATTTTGTATTGATGGCGAATGTAATAAACTTTTGGACAGGACGTGTCAAACAGTTAATGAGAGATGCCTAACAAACCTAACGCCCACAAGGAAAAATGTCAAAAAAATCATAAAGATTTTCTTAGTTCTGGGCATATCGAGACCAAAAGAAACCCCATATTTCCGCTCACCACTGATGAAGACAATGAACCAGTTACAACCAGTTACGTGAGACACCTGTAGTTATATCAATTTTTCATTCTTATTTTTTATTTTTCATTCATATTGTTAAATATAGTACCTTCATTTCTCTTCTACTGTTATAAGTTTTATTCTATTATGAAAGTTACATAATGTGTGGAGATCGGGCTTTGAGGAGAATTTTTGAATGCAGGCCTCACCCATGGGCTGTATCTTCGAAAATAGCGAATTCCTTCGTTTTGATGTTAAACACAAAATATCGTTACAGTCTAGCGCACAATAGCTTTTGTTTCATATCACTTCCCTCAAACCAACATTTTAGATATAGGGATGTAAGTCCCAGGGATGTAACGGACAAAGTTCCCTTATTTTTCAGCGTACATTGCTGGTGAAGGAAAATTGGGGTTGCCATTTAAAAAAATAAACTTTTCGACTTTTCGAGATAGAGAAATTCGGCGCAAATTTCTAACCACCCGGTATAATGTTTAACAAAACTTTTCAAGGGTTATGTAAGCTATGGGTCCACTCTGTGCAAATCCTGAGAATATTTAGCCGGACTAAAGTAATGACGAAAAATTAATTTTATTGAAGGGTTGCATCTGGCAAAATTTTCGAAAAAACTGAAACAAATCAAAAATGGTGCACTCTAGACATATGATGACTTACATGAAATTATATTAAAATTTTGCGGTGATCGAAAATTCAATAAAAATTGTTACATTCGATTTAAAATAACGAAGTATAACCGGAAGTTGAAGAAAACTGAAAATATTTTAGCTGAAACGAGCACCTTGGATAAACGCTATATGCAAATTTCCAGAAATATAGTGCCAGTAGTTTGTCACATACATATAGCTCAGCTTATCGTGACTAGTGATGGAACGGATAGTGATTTTGCGAAAAGCCGGATACCGGATATTTGGCATCCCCTTCGGCCGGATATCCGGCATATCTATCCGGCCATTATAGTTATAATTTCTGATGCATTTTTGAAGTGCATCAGAAATTATGCACAACCCAACCCAACCCTATATTGCCCCATTACAGCGATATTTGAATAAAATTGAAATTAATAAGAAAGCGGGTAAGAATGTCAACTTACATGGATCCAAGATACAAAATGAACTTTTTTGATGCTGATTTAACTAACGAAGCAACTCTAAAAAGAGGTTACTTTAATACTTTAATTAATAATTGGCGATATTTCCACAAGAATCCTTGAAGAAATTAATTTTATAGCGAATTTTGAAAGTTATCGATGAAAATTGCACATCGAAAATTTTATGAAAACTTCATATATTGTTTTCTAAAAAACTAAAAGTTATTTTTCAAAACATGTTGGTTCATTGGAAAGAGGACACTCTTATTAACACTTTAAGAAATTTTCATACTTATATTCCAAGAAATGGATTTTATACGAATTTTTAAAACTTAATCGGCGAAAATTGTAAAATTCGAAAAAATTGTCAAAAATGTCAAAAATTTATTTCTCAAAAACTAAGAGCGATTTTTCAAAACGGCTTGTTGCATTAAAAAGAGAATACTATAATTAATAATTGGTGATATTTCCACAAGGATCCTTCAAGAAATTAATTTTATAGCGAATTGTGAAAGTTATCCATGAAAATTGCAACATCGAAAATTTTATCAACACTTCAAATATTGTTTTCTCAAAAACTATAAGCTATATATATAGATATAGATATATCCGTTCCACCACTAGTCGTGACAAACCCTGTACTTGCTGACAATTAAAATATAAAACTTACATCTGGTAAATTAACAGGTGGTAAAATGGGATTTGACGTTTTTTGTAATGCTCTGATTTGTAATAAAGCCCTAAACGGGGCTCTACATATTGGACAATTATTTGTTTGATAACGAAGCGTGTTTGCACATGAATTACACAAACACAAGTGTCTACAAGGTAAAATCAGTGTGTCTCGTACTTCACTCATGCATACCACACAATCAGAACCATTATCATCAGTTTCATCATCACTAGAAGACTACAAAAAATAATTTTTTAAATATAAAACAACTCCATTTGGTTATTTTTGAACAAATCTTACTTTATCACTTTGTTTATTCTCAATCCCATATATTTCCTGTAATAAATAACACAATCCATCAACAAATAATTTCTGTTTGAGAGCTTTTAAAATATGTGTTCCATCCATTCCTTTCTCAACAACAGCTATTGTTGTATGAGATTGTCTCATATCTAATAAAAACATAAAATTAATGGTATAATTTTATTACAATTTTGATAATTCTACCTTCTGGTCCTTTTTCAGCAACACAATGAATGGCTATTGGAATAACTTTCCTATCGGTATCATATAAAAGCTCATCATCACTATATAAAGAGGGATAAAAAACATGTGTTGGTTGTGCAAACTGTTGGTTTGCTCCACGCTTATAATGGTAAACCTCCGAGACCATTAAAGGATCTTTAGGGATATAACTAATCAAAAATAATTTAATAAGATTATTAAATAAATTTTTAAAAATACATTACCTAACACCATTAGCTGTATACTCTTCAGTACAAAAATAATAAATAGTAATAGCACATGGAACATCACAATCAAAAGTAAATTCCAAATTAAACTGTGGAGCTTTCCCCAGCTCTACATCAGCATTTTCATCATCAATTAAATGCACTTTACAGTTCTCCAAATTTGTTTTAACAAACCTTAAAGATTCTTTACGGACATTTACCAAACTTTTTAAGGTTTTTGTTGGTTCATTTGGTTGGGGAGGTGGATAAGGAAACTATAACAAAAGATATAGGTTAAGTAAGTACATTATTAACCAAAGTGATTACATACCGCTGTGGGACTTCCTAGAAAATTTAAATCAGTGTTATCGCCGAATAAGTAAGCCTCAGGTTGCGGTGTATCGAATCTTTCGCCCCCCATTATAAAGTGGCTCCCAAAATAGTTTCCAGAAGGTGGTGGATATTTGTAGGCGTAATTAGGTACCACATCAGCTTCTTCAACACCGGCCCTTTGCCGACTAGCTATTGCACCCATTATTATATTACTGTTGTAATGAGCAACTTGAAAATGTAATAAACTTATTCAAAAAGAATAACAAGTAGCTGTCAGGTGATTTTGAACATTAATCAAATGTGACATTTCAAAAGATTGTTTCGATTGATCACTAGTTTAAATAGGAATCAATTAATAATTTGATCAAAAGAACTCATATAAGTCTCTATATAATATATAATTATATAGTATATATATTAGTTGTTCAGTTTATAATGAAATTGTAAGAAAATATAAAAAACAGGCGTGTTAACGGTTAATAGGAAACGTTCGATTAATTATGCATAAGAACCGTAATACCATTTTAAACTTACGTTCTGAGCTTGCTTGTTATAACTCAATAATTATCACTATATAATACATAATAGAAAAGAAAATACTATTTAACCATAATATTTAAAGTAATTCTTATTTATATAAGAAAACTAAAGTCCCTAGATTATGAAAGTACCGCGGTTTGCCACCATTTTGGCTCGAAAGTCACGCGGCAAATTTAAAATAATAATAAGGGACTATTTAATGAAACAACATAAAAAATTAAATAGTTTATTGCGAAAAAAATACAGATAGAAATATATGTAGCCAAATAGAGGTAAATGTACTGATCTAACTAAAATACCTCACAAACCTCTCATTATCTTACATAATTGTAATGCACTATGCTTGTTTCTTTATATTCAGTACATGATTTTTCTTTTAATGAAAAATAGATCCAAATATTGGTGAATAGAATCGTCACTGCTGATTTTATTGCTTATCAAGTATATTTAGTTACATTAGTTTACAGTTGTCCAATACATTCAAATGTTATGTGATGTTTTTACGTATTTTGTGAATTAATGTCTGTGCCAAATAATACAATGAGGCTTTAGCGTGGTCATCCAGATCTTCAGTATGGTTATGAGCAGTTATGAGATTCTTGTGCCTGAAGCATGTAGAGATCTTGGATGCAGTTATTATTATCAGCTTTACCTGATTCTTGTTGTTGTTTGCTTGATAAGTCTTGATAGTCGACGTTTTGAATTTTCTTGCATCTGGTGTTGCTCGACGGCTTCTAATCAACGAAAACAAGTTTTCTATGGAATCTTGTGTAAGCCTGCTTAACAATATGTATTGAAACCCATACATTTCCAAATACTCTTTATGAAAGTCTAAAGCTGTCTACGTAGATAGTAATATGCCAGTTTGGTATATTACTATCTAGATACAAAACAACTTTTAGTACGAAAGTTGTAGAAAAATTTTATTGTTAACAATATTGGTCTCTTGCACTTTTGTTCTTAAATGCGTCAATATCCAGATACATACAAAAATATGAAAATTTTATGAATTTGTTGCTCTTTCAAGTTATTAATGGTAACATTTAGGAATCGGAGCTTCCTATAAGAAAACTTTTATAACAAGAATTGTTGCAAATTTTATTGTTAACAATATTGCTCTCTTGCACTTTTGCTCTTAGATACGTCAATATCGAGATAGATACGAAAATATGAAAATTTTATGAATTTGTTGCTCTTTCAAGTTATTAAAGGTAACACTTGAGAATCGGAGCTTGCTATAAGAAAACTTTTATAACAAAAATTGTTGCAAATTTTATTGTTAACAATATTGCTCTCTTGCACTTTTTTTCTTAAATGCGTCAATATAGAGATAGATACGAAAATATGAAAATTTTATGAATTTGTTGCTTTTTCAAGTGATTAAAGGTAACCCTTAGGAATCGCAGCATGTTACAAAAAAACTTTTAGCACAGAAGTTGTAGCAAATTTTATTGTTAACAATATTGCTCTCTTGCATTTTTGTTCTTAAATACGTCAATACCGAGATAGATACGAAAATATGAAAATTTTATGAATTTGTTACTCTTTCAAGTTATTAAAGGTAACACTTAGGAATCGGAGCTTGCTATAAGAAAACTTTTATAACAAAAATTGTTGCAAATTTTATTATTAACAATATTGTTCTCTGGCACTTTTGCTCTTAGATACATCAGTATCGAGGTGGATACGAAAATATGAAAATTTAATGAATTTGTTGCTCTTTCAAGTTATTAAAAGTAACATTTGGGTATCGGAGCTTGCTATAAGAAAACTTTTATAAGAAGAGTTGTTGCAAATGTTACTGTTAACAATATTGCTCTCTTGTACTTTTGCTCTTAGACACGTCAATATCGAGGTAGATACGAAAATATGAAAATTTGATGAATTTGTTGCTTTTTCAAGTGATTAAAGGTAACCCTTAGGAATCACAGTATGTTACAAAACAACTTTTATAACAAGAATTGTTGCAAATATTATTGTCAACAATATTGCTCTCTTGCACTTTTGTTCTTAGATACATCATTATCGAGATAGATACGAAAAAATTAAAATTTTATGAATTTGTTGCTCTTTCAAGTTATTAAAGGTAACCCTTAGGAATCGGAGCTTGCTATAAGAAAACTTTTATAATAAGAATTGTTGCAAATGTTATTATTAACAGTATTGCTCTCTTGCACTTTTGCTCTTAGATACGTCAATATCGAGGTAGATACCAAAATATGAAAATTTGATGAATTTGTTGCTTTTTCAAGTAATTAAAGGTAACCCTTAGAAATCACAGCATGTTACAAAAAAACTTTTAGCATAAAAGTTGTAGCAAATTTTATTGTTAACAATATTGCTCTGTTGCACTTTTGTTCTTAAATGCGTCAATATCGAGATAGATACGAAAATTTGAAAATTTTATGAATTTGTTGCTTTTTCAAGTTATTAAAGGTAATATTCTGGAATCGCTGCGTCTTACAAAAAGATTTTTACAATAAAAGTTGTAACAAATTTTATTGTTAACAATATTGTTCTCTTGCATTTTTGCTCTTGGATGCGTCAATATCTATTTTGACAATATTATATTTTGAACCGTCTTCAAATTAGGCAGAGGGTTTACTTATGACGTGTACAGTACGGCAACGCTTCCAGATCATTGGTATATACTTTTATGCAATAGAAGTATGGTATTCCAATAAAGTACAATTTTTGTCGCAATTGTATTGATTTTAAGTACGATGTGTTTCATAATACTTTGTTAAAATTTTGAAAATCGGTGGATCCACTGACAAGCGGTGTCATACAGTGACAAGCTATTTTAAGCTCGAATAGTTTCCTTTTAATAGCGCCATCTCTAGGTACTTTAACACAATAAAATTGATTATATTTTGTAAGGCTACTAAGAATCTGAGCTTTCTTGTANATTATTCACTTAATAGAGTAGTTTTTACAGTTCTCTAAAGGAGAGTTCTTTTTTACTCATGTTAGTGAAGTTATGTAATATATAAAACATTAAATTTTACACAAGACGTGTAAACTGTACTTTTCCTTCAGGTACTTCGTAGGCATCGCACTATTTTGCTCGGGATTACTCATCGGTACCACGTGATTAACATGTGATGTGATACAGCTAAAATTTAACGGTCATTTACTGAACGAGTCGGAACTGGACAGCGTCTCGAGACCTGATTTACGCGATATAAAAAGAAAGAACGATTATTTTTATTTGAATTATGTTTGCCAAACATTCGTGTTGTGAAATTAGTGGAACTTCCGGAAGATTTTACATACGAGTTCCTTGCGAAGATTGGTAAGTATGTACAACTATACATACAGAAAATTTATAGAAGACTCATTAGATGCAGTTTTCATGGTGACTCGATGGAAACTTTAAAATGGATTAAGTATGGTTATATAAAAAAAATTTAATTTTTTTAAATTTAAGATATAACAATATATTACAAGTAAAAATAAAAACAAATATTTTATAATTTTGATTTTTATTACAAACCTAAAACCTTCCTAAAAATATTCTATACTTCCTATTAAAAATTAACACTAATAAGTGAAAGATACACACTATTTAGTGATATTTTGTCACTTAATAGAGTAAAATTAGAACGAATCTTTAATAATTTACAGTGCTAATTTTACACTGATTAGATTAGAAATGTATGTAATTAGAGTCACGACAATATCTAGTTAGATTACATATAATACACTGTTATAGAGTAACGATTTTACACTATTTAATAAACACTATCTTTCACTATTTAGTGTAAAATTTTAATCTATTCACCTACACTATATAGTGCAAAAAAATAACTCTAAATATATTGGACCGATCTGAACCATGTTTTAGAGTTGATTTTTACTCTATATTTTTTCCTGTGTAATAATAATGTAAGTAATGTAATGTAATAATAATAATGTAGAATATTGCTCTCTTGCAGTTTTGTTCTTAAATGCGTCAATATCGAGATAGATACGAAAATATGAAAATTTTATGAATTTATTGCTCTTTCAAGTTATTAAAGGTAACACTTGGGTATCGGAGCTTGCTATAAGAAAAACGTTTATAACAAAAGTTGTAGCAAATTTTATTGTTAACAATATTACTCTCTTGCACTTTTGTACTTAAATGCGTCAATATCGAGATAGATACGAAAATATGAAAATTTTATGAATTTATTGCTCTTTCAAGTTATTAAAGGTAACACTTAGGAATCAGAGCTCGCTATAAGAAAACTTTTATAACAAGAATTGTTGCAAATATTATTGTTAATAATATTGCTCTCTTGCACTTTTGTTCTTAGATACATCATTATCGAGATAGATACGAAAATATGAAAATTTTATGAATTTGTTGCTCTTTCAAGTTATTAAAGGTAACACTTAGGAATCGGAACTTGCTATAAGAAAACTTTTATAACAAGAATAGTTGCAAATGTTATTGTTAACAATATTGTTCTCTCGCACTTTTGCTCTTAAATACGTCAATATCGAGGTAGCTAATAAAAATATGAAAATTTGATGAATTTGTTGCTTTTTCAAGTAATTAAAGGTAATTCTTAGAAATCACAGCATGTTACAAAAAAACTTTTAGCAGACAAGTTGTAGCAAATTTTATTGTTAACAATATTGCTCTCTTGCACTTTTGTTCTTAAATGCGTCAATATCAAGATAGATACGAAAATATGAAAATTTTATGAATTTGTTGCTTTTTCAACTTATTAAAGGTAATACACTGGAATCGCTGCATCTTACAAAAAAATTTTTACAATCAAAGTTGTAGCAAATTTTATTGATAACAATATTGCTCCCTTGCATATTTGCTCTTGGATGCGTCAATATCTATTTTGACAATATTATATTTTGAACCGTCTTCAAATTAGGCTTCAAATTATTTTACTTATGACGTGTACAGTACTGCAATGTCGCTCGAGTAACGTTGCCAGATCGTTGGTATATGCTTTTATGCAATAGAAGTAGGGTATTCCAATAAAGTATAATTTTTGTCGCAATTGTATTAATTTTAAGTACGATGTGTTTCATAATACTTTGTTAAAATTTTGAAAATCGGTAGATTAAGTCGTATATCGGTAGGGTTGGCAACGCTGGCCGTGACATACACTGACAAGCGGTGACATGCAGTGACAAGGTATCAAACTGCCATTTTAGCTCGAATAGTTTCCTTTTAATAGCGCCATCTCTAGGTACTTTAACACAATAAAATTGATTATATTTTGTAAGGTTACTAAGAATCTGAGCTTTCTTGTAATAACTTAAATAATTATGATTAGATAACACATAAAGAAGAGAAAATACTATTTAACCGTAATATATAAGGTAAGTATACCTTGTTACATTAACTTTTTAGTAAACGCCATCTATTGGAGCTTTAGCTCAATGATTAAAATTGATTATAATTTTTTAGGTTATACCATTTTAAACTTAAGTTAAACTTAAATTTGTAGTTTACGTAGTTTTAATCTTTTCCGGCGAGATATTTCTCTCGCTGTAGCTGTTCTTACTACTTACTGAATAAAGGGAGTAATTGTGAAAATGGATACAGAACCAAAAGAAATGGTTGGACCATCAACAGATTCTGTAAATGCAAATAAAAATGAACTAGCAGAACAGCCAACAAGGGAACATACTAATCTCCTTAGAGAATATTTTAATAGTATCGCAAATCGTGAAGTTTTACATTTAAATTCAAGATCTGTAACCCCAGTCCTTTCAGTCGATTTAGGAATCGATTTAAAAATGGTTTCATCTCGAATGAAGTATGTGTTAGCAGAGGCATTATGTTATTTTATGAAAGTTTGGCCTGGATGGTCCACTACAGATTACAAAAATCCGTTATTAAAAGATGACTGTTTTTTGAAATATCAAGATTATTTAAGATCAAAATTAATGTATATCATTGATAACGAAAGCCAATTTCGTGAAGATGGTGATTTTCAAAGAGGGGAATCAGTTTCTGTGGAATCTCAAACAAATATACCATCGAAAACTAATAAACCAGAAGCTTCTTTTAATTTGGCTATAACCGGAAAACCAAGCGTTTTGAATAATATTGTTTTTATTGAATTAGACAGTCAGAATTAATTATTTATTTTTGTTTCCTAAAAATATTTTCTTTCTGTTTTTAGATAACATATTAATAAAAAAACATTTAGAAAAACCATGGAAGCAATTACCTTCGATGGTATATTTTTTAAATCACCCTTATGTTAAGATTAGTGTTGATTTACCTTCGGTTAAATTTTCGCGATCTAACGTCCATGTTTATAAACGTTATATAACGGATGGTGGGGACACAACTACTTGCCCTCCAACAGACTTTATTACTGAAGTTGTGAACACCATTCCAAATTCTACACCTAAAGTTTATTCATATGACTTTATATCCGCTTATTTCAAACAATTAACATCCATATTGACAAAGTATAATATTAACAATCATCATTTAATTCAAAGCATCATCAGCGAGTTTTTACAGGATATTAAAGACTGCAATATGAATGGGGGTACCATGGCTGCACCATTTATGGTAACTTATAATATTGGCGGAAAAGTATATGTTCGTAATAAAAAAATGGTTGTTAGCATTAATAAGAAGTAAGTAATGATAACAACCCATTAAATAATAAAAAAAATCTTTTATTTCCAGCAAAAATGCAATAAATTTTTGCGAAATCTTAACTCCAAAAGTGTCATTTGCACTCCAAGAATTTAATGTTGTTGAAGATGAAAACGCAAAGGAACTTTCTTTCATTGATTTAAATAAAATAGCCTCAATGTCTAAAGAGGAACATTTAACACTAATAAATGCTTTTAATAATTGCGTAACGTTTCATTGTACGTTGTGCGATAAAGTGTATCAAGGAGAACGTTGCTATTCTGATTGTTTGGATCATTTTCGATTTTTACACAAAGGCGAGCAAGCGGTTGTATGTTTTAGATGTCGAAAGACGTTTGAAGTAATTAATTTGGCGTCGACTCGATGGGCTCATAATAATTGCTATGTCGCTCCAGGATTAGTTAAAATGGAAGATGGAAAAGGAGGAGAGGAAAGAAGTGAAAATGTGTTGGTGGGTCAAGGGGGAGTTGACGGCGATAAATAATAAAGTTTGAAGTTTTAATTTTAAATATATTAAGTCTATTTATACTTAAAAAATGTCTATTACTTAATAATCTTATATAATTATCTTTTTATCTTAGTTTTTAAATTAAGTGCTAAGGATAAGTAATTTTTTACCACTAAAATAAATGTTATAAAATTTTACCGCTGTATTTTACCGATATTCTCCGCTCAATGGAAGATTTTTCTGTCCCCAACTACTTATGGCATTAACTTTTTTATGAATAGGATGTTGACTAACTGCACATCTGAGAACACTAGGTGCAAAACGACAGGCTGCGAATACCGCTGGAAGTCACTTTTAATATCATGGAGATCGCAATTAACAACGGCATGTTAGTTAAGTATCTGGGGTTATTTCCGGACAGCAAATGTACGTTCCGAGATCACATAAACACGGCTTGCTTTAAATCGGGAAAGATGTATGTATAGTAGCGAAGTTTGGGCTACCGGACTTACCAAGAACAACCGCGGAAGACTAGTCTTGGTGCAGAGGAGAGGCGTTGTACGCATAGCCAGTGTTTCAACAGCGACCGAGTCATGGCAAGTCCTGTAAAACGATCAATGCCGGCGGTACTGATCCCAACCATTATTATTACACCACGCAATTTTTGAGGGGCCATGGCTAGTTCCACAAGTACCTCTAATATCTTAGTGTTATCTTGGACAAAGGACTAACTTGGAGATCACACATTAGTTGCAAAACCAAAAAAGCAACGATTATACTGACCCAGTGTCGAAGGGTTATTGGGAATACTTGGGGACTAAATCCGAAAGTTACAATATGGATCTACACATCTGTGATTAGACCCATGGTAGCTCACGGAGCCATAGTTTGGTACTCAGCACTACAACATGCATATAAAACTAAATTGCTGCATCAATTGCAACGACTGGCCTGCCTGCTAATCACATGCGCTATGAGATCTACACCTACGATTGCGATGAAGACTATGCTGAACGTGCTGCCCCTAGATACCTGTTGGAAATAATTCACGAACATACCCTATACAAGGTGTTCCGGTGACTCGGGGCATAAAATTAACCTCATATACTAAAAGAAAAAATTTATTATAAATGTCTTCAAATGGCCAAGATATGGGCCATCAAAGTTCAGAAATTTTAACACATTTTGTAAATATTTTCAATACCATTTATGGTAGAGCGTTGAAATTTGGTACGGGGTAAACAAATATCAAGCAAAATCATTGAACCAATTTTGATCGGGCGGCGGCAACCATGCTATACAGGGAGTCCCTAAAATTTGTTTGCTCAGAACTTTTTTGTTCGATCGTAACCCTACATTTATTTTTGCAGTTTCTAATAGTAAATTTAGTTTAGAAACTTTTATCACTCTTAGAGAATATTGATAAAAACCACCGTTTTCGTATTAAATGCAAAAATGTTAGGCTCCGAATTCAATAACACTAAAAAAAATAAATAAATAAATAATTTGAATTAGCAATGACAAGTGAAAATCGAACTGAGCTGTCATAACTATTATGTATGCAACATGTCCAAGTGTAGATTTAGCTAAATCACATTTTTAATTTGTTTTAGTTGGTTTTATAAAAGAACTCAAAAAGAATAAATTAAAAATCAACACTAACAGGAATAATAAAAAAAGTACATAAAATAACAAGACAAGTAATAAAAAATACTAAAGGATGTTCAAAAACTTAGATTTCTTTTTTTTAGTAATAGCACTATTGAAATCGGAACCCAACATTTTTGGATTTAACACGAAAACGGTGATTTTTATGAATATTATCTAAGAGTAATAAAAGTTTCTAAACTAAATTTACTATTAGAAACTGCAAAAATAAATGTAGGGTTATGATAG